GACTTGAAAACTTCAAAATTTTAACTTTTTAAGCCTCAAAATAGCTCAATCTTGGAAATAAACTGATACTTATTACTAATAACTAAATGGGATATTACAATCTACCCCCCCTTAAAACTATTTCCGCCCTCGGAAATACTTGAACTGGGATACATACTATCTGAGTATATATTAAAACTTAAAATCTGAAACTCTAACATCAGCTTATCAATCCCAAATGGCATTTTATTCTCCGTGGAAATTCCATTTTATACGAACGAGGGAAATATCTCGATTCCTTAGCCGATTAACTTCTTGGTCCAAAACAGATACCAACGGTTCTTCGTAAGTTAAAACTTGCTGAATCTAAATCTCATTGTGCTAAAGCACATGATTTGGATCGCTCACGTATACACGTATCATCGATACGTGAAAAACATTACACATACTAACCAACTCGGGAGGTAATGCTAAATGATAGAATACTTCTTCTACTCGTTCAAGAACTTTGAACAGACTTATACAACAAGAATGCAGCTTACTTTTCTTCCCAAAACGAACGACACTTCTCATTAGTCGAACTTTCAGAAAGACTTTATCTTCAATCTCTAAATGCATTGCTCTTCCATGCTTATCAACTAAAAACTTCTGCCAATTATGAGCAGTCTTGAACCTTTCTTGAATCCAGGCTACATACTTGTCTATTTCCTCAATCAACTTCCATTATGGTAAAGCCAAATACTTTTGGACTTGTCACTTATGACTGGGAACATGACTATGTGGCACTTTGCATGCGATGTACCCACTACCCGGGGCCCTTCGGGTGAGGAACATTTACATGCGTTTACCTACAATGTCAATATCACCTGCAAAATTTACATATCCGTTAGCATTTTCAACTGTACTGAACTTGTCTCTGCGCCGGAAAACCTTCTGATTAAATATTACTATTAATACTTATATTTCTCTGACTTTAATATATCCAATAAAAAAACTGATTGGAAATTACTGCACTGTTGCATAAATACCCAATTACTGATCATACCATATTTCACCTATTGAGGTGAATTATTCTTTCCTTAATAATGCTGACCGACACATCTCAACTTCACAATAATTTATTCTTCAATTATTTCCGACATCTCACATCTGCTTCTACCACATTAACTGCGTACTGATTGCTTCTTTCAGGCATTAATTATATTTTAATGCATGAATCTTATCTCTGGAAACTTACCTCATACACTTCGATCTTCTATAAACAACATCGCTAATTCTTCAGTCTTCTTCAGCAATGGTCCGAAATAACCAATGGATCCGACACTTTCAAATATTCGTAAATCATATTCCTTTCTTCCCTTTAATATCATAAAAAGGATTTATCGATCTCGAGTGGAAAGATTGAGAGTGCTAATGATCCATAATATTCCAAATGATATACGATGGCTGATTGAAGCAAACGTCCGACTCTCTGGCGAATTTTCAAATTCTTGTAAATATCTGTCCGGTATGGGTAGAAGTACTCTTGCCAAAAAACGTAGAGCAAAACGAATAGGCG